TGCCTTTCTGCAAATCAATGTGAACTTATAAATTTTCATGGGTATAGGTTACAAACGAGTATTGCAGAAAATAATATATTGATTGAATAAGTATTTACAGGTTTTTTCCCTTCGCAACAGACATGTCAAGTACGGTATGATGGCGCAAACAGCGTCGTCTGTGTCCACATTGCCCAGAACCGACGCCCTCAAACGCTTGGATGCATTGGCGCCTTGAACAGGGGTTGGACATGGCGTATTATCAATGCGTCCAAACTGACCTTGCCTCCTCTCAGCTTCCATAAATCGAAAGAGCTCAGCAGGTATTCTCGATGGGTTTTCTTCGATGAGGTCCTGTTGTCTGGATTTCATGAGCTGCGACACCTATGACTAGCGTGAGAATAAACGGATAAGTCAATTTGTCAAGTATCTTTGCGTGGCGCGGTGATCGAGCAAGTCGAGTCAGCGGTCGTTCATGTAGGTACATACGCTCAGGTTTAAGTGACAATTGTAACTCGAGAGTAATGACACTGTCGGAAAAGTTAATGTGTTTGGCAATACTGGAAACCTTGCTCGTTGACGTTGACGTCATGAGAGCCTCTAGAAGCATATTTCGTGTCTTCACGTGTCATTGCATGGTTGTGCCAGGCATCAGGCTCATCGCGTTGCTCAATGATTGCGCTTTGTATCGGACTTGTCGACTTTGATGTACACTAGCGATGTCTTCAGCTCCTCGAGGTCTGCGGCCCCGTCAGCTCTGATGGTTGACTGGCTCATGCGTCAGGGAAGGGCTGACTTCTCATGCGTCGGTTGAGCTGCTTTGCGTGTATTCATAATAAACGGTTGCAGGATTCTAAGCTTAGAAGTACTGAAGTTTTATCAACGTCATTGTTCATTTTGCCACAGCTATCAAGCGATAAAGAACAGACCATGTTGGTTGCAAGCATGCGTAAGATCCGAACGGACCTGTCTTCTTTGCGCAACTCGATTGACCAAGCGACGCCGAGCCAATTCTACAAGCGACTCCGCCCCGTACAATGCCGTACGGAAGCTATCAAATCGCCAGTCCTTACGCAGCTTTGGCTTTTGTACGACGTTTTGAATTTGCAAATCATGAGCGAGCTACTAAGGATGTAAGTTCAGCCCGAAAACCGTTCACCAAAGTCAAATGCATAAAACATCACATCCTCCATTGGCTTCCTTGTTGAAGATTTGCTACACTCGCAGGGTTTCGTACATCGTACCTCTTCAGCCTCATGTCAAACGGAGGTCTCGCCGAGTTTGAAGTTAAAATTTGGGTGTAAACTACTACCTCCATTCGGAAATAAGTGCTCCAAAGCCAAATGTTGAACTTCCATATGAAATGCTCCAAGTGCAAAACACAACAAAATAGAAAAATCAAATACAAATTTCAATACATATTTTACTCCAAATCTACTCCCATCTCGGAAACACTGGCCACCAAGTCCACCTCGGGATCGACTGGCTTGAGTTCTTCCAGCTCGGAACAAATCGCGACCATGGCCAAGTCTTCAGACACTTCTTTGTCCAGCTGCTCCATCATATGCGCCAAATCCATGCCTTCAAGCAACTGCAAGCCACCAAGCACTGCATTTCGATCAACAATGATCGATTCCGGTAACTTACCTTGGTGTAACAATTGCTTCTTCTTCATGTGCGGTATCTTGTAGTTGTTGTTTCCTGCTGCGCGCATTGTCTCTTGAAAACACGTCTGCACCGTCAGAAAGTTGGCGTTCAGCGTGGCCATGTCGACTTCATCCCACGCACGATTTGTAGCCTCAACCACGTCAGAAACATTTCTCGCATGATGTTTCACTTGTAGGCTTTGAATCGACCGAAAACAGGCAAGGTCAAGGACATTCATGTCTGGCGAATTTTTTGGCGGCTGGGACACAACTTTCATGGATCATCCGTCTTGGCGACAAGCTTCAGCGATCGTCATGTCATTTGGAGGTACGTGTGGTCTCGCGTTATCATGCTGTATTTTGATCGTACGGTGTCGTTCCTCTAATGGTCACTTCTGTTTGATAGCGGGTATCACGTGATCCCTCAACATGGCCCGATTCGCACCACAGTTGACGACAACAGGCTTCAACTCGAGCGTTCCCTTCGGTCGGCTGCGGCTCGTGCGCTGTGCTGGTACCCATTCGGTAAAGTGCCATGTCCCGAACTTTCCATCGAACCATGACTGAGTCGAGTTGTCCCAACGAGGTCTAGCGACGGCAGACAAAAACATGACCTTCATGATGTGGGTCTTGGACTTGCAGGTTCTGTGCGGCGGCTCTTCACCGGGAGCAAGGTAGTAGGTATGCTTGACTTTGGTAGTGAAAATCCACTTTTCGTCCACGTGTACGTAGTCCATTAAGTCGTCAAAGTGCATGCACTCGGACCCACGAACGAACTTCAGAGTCCAAGCAAGCCTGGTCGCCTTGTTAGCATCGGTAAGAAGTGGTTTCACTGAGCTTGAGTACTTAACGAACAATCCACGC